GATAACGAACAGTTGATGATATGAACTCAGGAATATTAACAAAAAACGACCTTAAATATTTTCAAATATACTTTATGCTAATTACAAACAAAAACAAGAAAAACACAGCAGGGAGGAAAGCGCCTTTTTCTTCCCCTCCACCCTATCCCCTCCGTCCCTCCAAATCCCAATAGACGAACGTGTGTGATTCTTTGCTCACCATTACGCCCTGTTGGATCTGCTGACGTAACGCTGGCTGATTCCGCTCCTGACGAGAGGTAAATTTACTTTCTGTCGCCTCCGAACTTCAGCTGATAAGACGGTACCTCATTAAAAATTGCATGGATATTCGGGAAAGGGATGAAAGAAAAAAAAAAAGTAATATAAGAGTAAAAGGAGAAAGGAGAGGGACATTCGTTAGGAAAGTGTAAGGGACGAGGGGAAGACATTGTACCAAGATTAAGAAAGCACATTGACCTATGCTAGTGATGTTCCATTTGCTTATATCTCGTTATTATCAATCTTATTCATACTGCCACTATGATAGCCTCATTATAATCTTCATTAATATCATCATTGTATTATACAATCGCATTTTTTTCATCGTCATTGTTGATTACGTCACTGTTATTGTTGTCAGTCCAATTATTACGTTTGTCCGTATTATGAATATCGATATTACCATGATAAACATCATATATCATTTTAATTACCATTATCGATATAGCTATCCTATTTCCATAATCAGTATTTCAGTTACATTACCATCGACATCATCATTACCATCATTCAGTATTATTATCAGCAACATACTCATTGTTATTACTATTGTTTAATGCCTTATGAGTATTATCGTTATCTTTATTATTATTTTCACTATCATGATAATCACAAATAGTGTTGTTATTATCATTATTATAATTGTTACTGCGATTACCATTACTGTTCTTATCTTTATTATAATTGTTACTACTATTACCATTACTATTATTATCACTATTATAAGTAGTAGTAGTAGTAGTTTTAGCATCATATTTGTTATTATTATGATAGAAAATATTTTTATCAATGTTATCATCATTAGTAGTATTGCTTTTATTATTAATATTATTGTCATTATTATATCATATATATTATCATTTTTTTATTATCATTGTCACTATTATTGCTGTTGTTATCATTAATAATATTGTTATTATCATCAGTATTATTATCCTTATTGTAATTATTATTAATACAATTGAAATGTTGATGATAAGCATTATCATTGTCATTACTTTAACTTTTATTATCATCATTATTATCATTATATTATCATTATTATTTTTACTATCATTTTGTTATTATCATTACTATCATTGTTATCATTATTATTATAATTATCCTTATTTTTCTTATCCTAATATTAGTAGTAGTATTAGTATATATCATTATTATAATCTTTTTCATCATTACTTATAGTATTGATAGCATCATTATTATTATCACCATTAAAATATTAACTCTTCTATTATTTTTGTTTTTATCATTACAGTTCTTATTGTTATCATTTTCATTTTCATTATCATTATCATTATCATAATCTTATCTTACCATTTTCATTGCTATCATCATTGTCATTATTGATATTATCATTACTGTCAATAAAACAATTATTATGATAACTTTTATTATCTTTATTGTTGTTCTTATTGTTAAATCATCAATATTAATGTCATTTTCGTTATCAATATCAGCTTCATTATTGTTATTATTATTAGCATTATTAATATTATCATTATTTTTTTAAGTTGTTATTATTGTTATTGTGATCTACATCATCATTATTATTCGTATTTAGTTGCGATTTTGTTTTTATTACTATCATCATTATCATTATCGTTATGAATAGCATTATGATTATTATTACCGTCATAATCATTGTTAGTGTTATTATTATCTGATATCATTATTAATATTATTATTATCACAAATAGTTTATTGTTATTATGGTTAATATTATTATCACCATTACCATTATTATCCTCATCGTTATTATTGTTATTATCATTATTATAATTTTCATTGTCATTGATATTATTATTTTATTTTATTATTCATTATCATTATTTTTCGTCATTATTTTTTTATCTTTACTCTATATTATCATTATTATTTCATATCATTATTTTTCATTATTTTTTTTATCTTTACTCTTATTATCATTTATTATTATCATCATCATCATTATCATCATCATTATTATCATTATTTTATTGTCATTATCATTATTTATAGTCATTATCATTTTTATTATATATTATTATCATTGCCATTATTATCATCAATATTATGATTTGCATTATTATCATTATAATATTAGTCTTAGTTTTAGTATTAATTATTATTAGTTTTTATCATTATTATCCTCCTATTATTATTATGTTGCTGTTGCTATTACCATATTATCATTAGTAGTAGTAGTAGTAGTACACTATCATTATAATCGTCATTATAATTATCCTTAGCATTATCATCTATATCATTATATTTTCATTGCCATTATCAGTATTATCACTATCATTATTATCAGTACTAAGGAATTTGCCATTACCATGAATTATTTTCATTATGATTATCATTATTATCATTGTTATCATTTTTTGCTATTGTTAACATTATCAATTATCATTTTATTATTGATTTACTGTAATTATCACGATGTTCATTATCAAGATCATTATAACAATCATCATTATTATCATTATCATTACACAGTATTAATATTACTTTTATAACTATCAGCATTATAGTTATATAATAATAAATTATCATTGGTGTTAGTATTAGTACAATATTATCATTAATTGTTTCCATTTTTATTATCAGTAGTAGCAAGTCGTAATTGTATGGGACTTGCTCAGCACAACTTGTTGGGTCTTTGCAGACTTACGTCTGGCGAATGCTCACTGCAACTTAATAAACGGCAAGTTTCTTTCTGGTTAGCAGGAGATTGCGACCAGAAAAGGAACCTGAGGGATTTCCCCCTGCTTTTTCTCTCCCGTGAACCAATCTATACCTGTTGTCGCCATTATTTCAACATGATTGTTATTGCTATCATTATTATGATCAATATTTCACATCATATTTATTTACCATTGTTTATTACACAATTGACATTTTCAATACTATGCTTATGACATGGTCCATTATTGCAATATATTCTTATGATGAAAATGTAATTACTGTGTTTGCTGCAATCATTATTATTATAGTTATTGTTATTATCATTATTTACAGGATAAAGTTTATGATGATTTCCATCGTTTATGTAATTATCAGTAACGTTACTGCAGTCATTATCATAATCATATTTTTTGTATCGCTATTATTGCTGAAAATGTCAATATTATTATCTGAAAACATCTTTAACCTGAAATTGCATTATTTTTAACTAATCTCATTATCGACACTAAATTTAACCTTGTTTTTTCGTAACTTCATCATGTAACGTAAAAAAATACTTTTTTCTAGGACGTTTGCTATCTAAATATTTTATTTGGCTAGTATTTATGATGGGAAATATAAAAACAAGAAAGTGATGTGCATTTTATTAGGGTGTGCATGCTTTTCGGTCTATAAATAGATTTTTCCCTTAATTTTTTTCTCTTAATATTCAATAGTCTTTGAAGGCTGGTCACGCTGATCTGATGAGGATCCCATCTGCCGCTGAAATTTGTCCCGACGAAGGCGCTGCGGCAGTTATTCTGGATTGGAAAAGAAAAGGAACTAGCAGCTCTGATGAGAGGGTAATTGTTCAGATTAAAGCACTGACTACATCTTATGTTCCTTTTCCGTAATTTTGCGAATGAGAACGAATAATCAATGATTAAAGAAATAGATGATAAGAATGATCAAGCATATACAGTATATGTGTGTGCTATCTATTCTTTACATAAATATATATAGATGCATACATACCACAAATACATGCATACATACATAATACATACATACATACATTACATGCATGCATGCATACATATATTATATATATATATATATATATATATATATATATATATATATATTATATATATTATATATATATATATAATATAATCGATACAGTGATTGCAAAGACACCACACTTAGCCTCCTTTATGTGTAAGTATGTATCTGTATCAATTGTTTTGTTCATACGTAAGCTCACCAATCGCCTACCGTTTCTGGTACTCATTTTGATGTTCTGGAATGGACGACAAGCCAGAGTACTTACACACGGAGTCACACTCAGAACGCCTGTATGACAGGAGATCCAGTCTATGTAAGCGGAGACCCTGGTGTACACATGGGGTATTCGGGTCTTGCGCACTCGACCCCATAGCTGACCAGGCCCACCTGGACCCACCTTCCAAATCCAACAGGCACACAAAAGGACTGCACTGTCACCCTGGGAGAAAGTACGTTGAACTTAGAATCAACAGTCATTATCGCACAGGAATGCAATGGTAATTTCAGACATGCAGGGTGTGAATATTTCTGGATCACTCGGCAGAAATCAGGAATTTTTGGAGAAAAAATAAATAAAGAAGGGCTGAGAGAACGAACTATGCCGTGCTACGAAGAACATATTGTGGAAAGTACCTGACATGTATCCTTATAGGGCGTTAGACTGCACAGGACCTTTTCGGGTTCAGCAGGTAACCGGATCTTAGCTGCACACTCGCTCATGGAAATTATATCCAACTCGACCTCTTGCAGGATCGTTGGGCTAGAACCACTATTTAAATGTATTACAATATACTTTTTGTTGAAAAAAAGTTTATTTTGAGTTACAAATTCCATATCTCTCATTTGATCGCTTGCCCTGTTAAGTAGTAAATTCATTAACCTATATCATATTATCTCATACTATATGGTGTATAGTCTTCAAATATATAAAATACATTAAACATACACAAACACACTCATACTCTCTCACACATCTAACGTTAATGGAGTACATGCTAATCAGACGTGTATACATGTGAACTTGTGCA